GAATGGCCGTACTGGGTCAGACCAAAGGTCCATCTAGCCCAGTATCCTGTTTACCGACAGTGGCCACTGCCAGGTGCCCCAGAGGGAGTGAACCCAACAGGCAATGATCAAGTGATCTCTTTCCTGCCATCCATCTCCATCCTCTGATAAACAGAGGCTAGGGACACCATTCCTTACCCATCCTGGCTAATAGCCATTAATGGACTTAACCACCATGAATTTATCCAGTTCTCTTTTAAACGCTGTTATAGTCCTAGCCTTCACAACCTCCTCAGGCAAGGAGTTCAGCAAGTTGACTGTGCGCTGTGTGAAGAAGAACTTCCTTTTATTTGTTTTAAACCTGCTGCCCATTAATTTCATATGGTGGTTCCTAGTTCTTATATTATGGGAACAAGTAAATAACTTTTCCTTATTTACTTTCTCTACATCACTCATGATTTTATATACCTCTATCATATCCCCCCTCAGTCTCCTCTTTTCCAAGCTGAAAAGGTCCTGGGGGAAAGAACTGGACCCAGGCTGGAAGGGCATCTGGCCTGTGAAGAAGATGTTTAGAACCACATTTAGGGTGAGAACTTACACTAAAGAAACTGGTTACATGTATTAAGCTTAGTTTGTGTGCTCTGTTTTATTTTCGTAGTAATCTGCCTTGTTCTGTCTGCTACCGCTTTAACTACTTAATACACCTGTTATAGTTAATAAATTTATTTCTGCTTTACAATATAACCCAGTTTATGTGATTTCTAACGGGGGCGGGAGGGCAAGAAGTTGTGCGTATCCTCCTCCAGACTGAGGGAAGAGGCGAATTTCCTATAATTTTGGGTTTGTACTCCAAAGGGGGGAGGTGGACATCTGGGTGCTGGGGCAAGCCCCTTAAGCTGAGCCTCCTCAGAGTGGATTTCTGTCTCTCTCTGCAGCTGGGTGTGGCCCTGCCTGTGTGCTGGGCTGGAAAAGGCTGGGGAGCCTAGCCCAGCAAGGCCAGGTAAAAGGTAGCCCTGGCTGGCAGAATAGTCTGCCTCAGGGGTGTCCCAGTACACCAGGTGATCTCCCAGGGGGTCCAACACGTCACAGGCACTACATACTTAAGTTGCCCCTTTGTTACTAAATTATGCTTGTTATTGATTTATCTTTCCCATTGTATTTTTTTCTTTGTATTCTGTTTAGAATTCTGTTCCATGGGCAACTTTGGTAGGGATGACAGGAGCAGAGACCTCACTCAAATGGCCTAAAATCTGTCCATGAGAGGAGAACGAAGCCTAAGCAGTGATTTTTTCCCCCCTCCATCCTGAACCCTGTAGAAGCCTGCCCTTACATAGGAAATCTAAGTGATCGGAGCTATGTGAGTTGTGGGTGGGGATGGCAAAGCTGAGGAAGACCCATGTTACATAGCAACAGTTTCCAGAAAACCCAGGGGAAAATGGTAGTGGGAATTCTGGGCTTGTCAGCATTAACTCTCTGTTTCTGCTGTGGGCTTTGAGACAGTGGGCCAGCATGGCTTCACAGGGAGCCAGGTTGCCATGGGAATGAGAGAGCTTGATGATTGTCATGAAGGATATCTGACACAGATGTCCTAAAATCTGTGGGGTTTTTATCTGTAGATTTCCTTAATTTGCTTCAGTAGGAGTTATGGGTGCTCAGCTCTTCTTAGGATCAGGCCATAACTGTTTTTCTTTAACGAAATAGTTAAAAAAAAAAATACCGCCACAGCCTTTTGTGGTGCTAAGCTGTTTTAGCAGCCTCAAACAGTCCAGCTATGATTTGTAGCTGTGTTCTCTTCCTGCTTTTATGCAGCACCTCCTGTCCTTCTCATTGTTCTAGGCTGTTGGTGTCACTTCAAAGGTGTATGGTATTTTAAATTAAAAAATGTTTACACCTGGCCCCTCCTTTTTTTGCTGCTTTGTCGTATAAAGAAGGCTCGAACATTATTTGTAACTTGTCTACTTTCTCACCTTATAAATCTCAGGAATATTATTTTTTATCTTTCCTTGATTTGCTGGAAGAGCAGAGAATGGGAGCTGGAGCTTTCTCAGCCCTCAGTTGTAGGAGTGGTGAATCTCTCGCAAAGAAAGTGACTTTTACAAAGGGCCACTCATTTTTTGAAAAGACTTTTTTCATAGATTCTAGGACTGGAAGGGACCTCGAAGTCATCGAGTCCAGTCCCCTCTGACAGGTTGTAAGACAAATAGGAAATTAAAGAATTAGTTACCTTAAGTTTGGTTAAGGAAATATGTATGCATGTGTGGTTAAAAAAAAAAAAGGTCCTTATTAGCAAGCAGGAGGAAGGCCTTGAAAATAATAAGGGCCTGTCTTCACATACAGTGCTATAGGGTCACAGCTGCACTACTGCAGCACTTTACTGAAGATGCTACTATGCTTTTGTTAGTTAATCCACCTCCCAGAGAGGCAGTAGCGATATCTGCGAGAGAAGTTCTCCTGTCAACACAGTACTATCTATGGGGGGAAGCTAGGTCAGTATAGCTCCATCACTCAGGAGTGTGGATTTTTCACACCCCTGAGCAATGTAGTTCTACCAATATAGGTCTGTTGTGTAGACCTGGCCTAAGTTATAAGGCCAGAAGGAATAGGGTAGGGAGGATGTCTGGCTCAAAGAATAACTAATGACTCATAGACTTTAAGGTCAGAAGGGACCATTATGGTCATCTAGTCTGACCTCCCGCATGATGCAGGCCACATAAGCTGACCCACCCACTTTCCCTTATCTCAGCTGTTGAAGTCTCCAGATCGTGATTTAAAGACTTCAAGTCGCAGAGAATCCTCCAGCTTGCGACCCCTGCCCCATGCTGCGGAGGAAGGCGAAAAACCTCCAGGGCCTCTGCCAATCTACCCTGGAGGAAAATTCCTTCCCGACCCCAATTATGGCGATCAGTAGAACCCCGAGCATATAGGCAAGATTCTCCAGCCGGATCCTCATTTTACCAGCGATGGCACGTTATTGCCTAATTGACTAAAATCACGTTATCCCCTCAAACCATTCCCTCCATAAACTTATCTCCCCAGGGAGAACCTCCTTGCTCATCTAAAGGAGGACTTTTTTTTTTTTAAATCTCTCACAAAAAATGGAAAAGGGCACAACAAACCTTTTTCTGTACCAGATATGATCAGAGATAGGGTTGCCAGGTGCCCAGTTTTTGACTGGAACTCCTGGTTGAAAAGGGACCCTGTCAGCACAACTGACTGGGCTGCTAAAAGTCTGGTTGGCTGTAGTGCCAGCGGAGCAGGCAGGCTCTGTGTGGCTTCCAGGAAGTGGCCATCATGTCCCTCTGGCTCCTAGGCTCCACGTGCTGCCCCTGCCTGCAGGTGCTGCCCTGAGTGCTGGCTCCACAGCTCCCATTGGCCATGGTTCCCAGCCCATGCGAGCTGCAGGGGCGGTGCCTGCAGCCTGGGGCCGTGTGTAGAATCCCCTGGCCCTCCCCTCTGCTTAGGAGCTGGAGGGACATGCTGCCACTTCCCAGGAGCTGCCTGAGATCAGAGCTGCCTGGAGCCCGCACCCCCTCCTGCACCCAAACTCCCTCCAGGAGCCTACTCCCATACTCTGAACCCTCCACTCTAGCCCAAAGCCCCCTCCTGCACTCCAATCCCTCATCCCTAGCCCCACGCTGGTGAAAATGAGCAGGTGGGGGGAGGGGGATTGAGTGAATGGGGGTGGGGCTTTGCAGAAGGGTCAGGGCCTCGGGGTAGGGCAACGGTATTCCCTATTCTGCAATTAGAAAGTTGGCAACTCTAATCAGAGACCAAGAATCTCCCTTGTTTTTAAATTTTCTTGGTGTGGAAGCTTTGATTTTACTTCTCCTACTATCAAAAACTGAAGGTAAGAGGAACAAGAGCCAGAATTCGTACTGCAGCCTCCCATTGTTGTTCCTGTTCTATGAAGAGGGGTTAACTCTACTATCTTCTCACTAGGGTTGAGGTGCTAATCCTGTAATAAACCCAGGACTAACGGAGTGCTAAATCAAATATCAAAAAGAGCTCTGCGCTATGTATGCTTTGCTCTTGCTACATTAGCCACTTAGCCAGTAGCCTTATTTTTACACACCACCAAGGGTTCTAGGACGAGGTTCCTTTTTGCTGACACAATGATGACAATCACTGTTTGTTTGTTTTTGGGTGGAGTTCGTTTATTTTTTTTGCTGCATGCACCAGATACAAAATTTGTTGGCTCAGCTGCCTCATGCCAGAAACCTCATTCGGATTGAATTTTCAAGGCTTCTAAAAGTGCTTTGCAAAAACATTTCAACCCGCGGAACCTCACCAGCAAACTGCTGAAAAAAATGCCCTCTGATGAGCTAGCCACTGCCCTGCACCTGAAGCCCCTAAGCGTTGTTGGCGGTACCGCAGTTGCGTGGCGCCGATTGTGATGTCACAAAGGTCCATTTGCAAGCGAGGCATTGTGAAACAATTAAGGTCCCGTTTTCACCGGGGTGTCCTAAATTAAAAAACAAAACCAAAAAACCCGTGGGCCAAACGAGACGGGCACCAGTGGGTCTCAGGAGATTGGCTTTCAGAGTTTTCTACAAGGCATCAGCTGCTCTTTAGGCCAGGGGCAGGTGAGAATGAGGCACTGCTTCTTTTGGCCTGTCTCCTGCTGGGGCTGCTCATCCCCAGTACCTCCCTCTCGGCAACACCTGCCAAGGGCTGGCTCTTATCGACGCTGTGCAGAGCCCGGCCCGCGTGGCGGGGACAGCGGCCCGATGGGAGCCCTGCCTGCCGAGCCAGCAGCACAGAGCGCCCCTGCCGCTTGCCCCCCTTCCGCAGCCGCACAAAGGAGAAGCGAGAAGGCAGCAGGCGGCTGCCAGGTGCTGTCAAGAGCACGCGGGGCCGGGCTTTTCTGGGGGCGGGGACGGTGGCGGCGCTTGTCACCGGGGGGGTGGGGAGGCTGCTTTCGCCCGCTGATTTGGCAGCCCGGCCGGGGGGATGGGCCGAGGCCGGCGGGCGGGGGAGAGGCGGCGCCCGCCTGACAGCGAGCTAGCGGCAGGCAGGGGGCGTGGGGAGGCGGATTTCCTCCGCGCGGCCGCCGACACCTCCCCGGGGCCCCTTTCCCGCGGGCAGCTGCAGAGGCAGGTCCGAGCTTGGGAGCCCGGCCCCATGGAGCTCGCGGGCCGGAGGAGCCGGCCCGAGGAGGGGGATTTTCCCGAGGAGGAGGAGGTGGACCCCAGGATCCAGGTGAGGCAGGAGAGCGAGCCCCGGGGATGCTGCGGAGCGGCGGCACCCGGGGAGCCGGTCCCGGGGGCTGGCTCAGCCCCAAGCCCGCACGCGTTGGGCGGACAATGCCTAGTCTCTGCGCCCGGAGCCATGGGCCTCATCGTTGGGGTGGGACGGTCCTGCACGGAGCTGCGATGCACAGCGGAGGAGGGGAATGCTGGTTTGGGGGGGGTGTCTCCTGCTTTGGTGGTGGGGGGGGGGTCACTGCGTTTGCTCCCCATCCCTGCACAGGTCTCCCATAGATCTCCTCCGTGTTACCCTCTTGCTACTCCGCCCCCCACCCGATGGGGCGTGCAGCCGCTCTGCATCTGCCCGCTGAGCTCATTAGGTTTCTACTGGGGTATTTCTGCGGATGGGTGGAGAGGCTGCTGGAGCACCGGGTGCCTGCCTGCTCCCCTTCGGGAGAGGGGGTTTAAAAGACCCAGTGTGTGCGCTGGAGACAAGCCAGCCCCCCTCCCCCCGATAGGCGGCATCACTGGGGGGCTTTTCTGAACCTTCCAGGACTTAAAGCAACCTGGCCCCTTTCAAAACCCAAGGGGAAACCTCCTGTGATGTTATGCACAGGCTGCAAGAATACCTGAAGAGTGGTTTCTGCGGTGCGTGTGTGTGTCTGCACACAGACAAGACAATGCAACTGTGATTTTCTTCAGTACCATTCGTACAGGGCGTCTTTCAAAACGCTGTACAATAGTTACAAGACCAGAGCTGAATCATTTGTGGCTTGGCTGTTAAGTAAGATTGGACTTGGGGGTGGGGAACAAAACATGTTTGAAGCTGAGACCTGAAATAAGGTTGTTGGAGGGGGTCATGGTCTCTCTTAGCTTGGTGCCTGCAGTTGAGCAAGGGCATTTGTGAAGTTGTATTAGTATGATTTAAGCTGTTCATGTTGGTTGTTTAAGATTATTATATTTTCCATTAAAATGTTCTGTGCCATGACTCTCTTACCTTCTTTTAAATTAAAATTCTGACTTTGATTTTTTTTATCAAAAAAAAAAATGCAAACCCTTTTTTGTAAACCTACAGGGAGAGGATAAAACTCTTAATAATAATAATGGTGGGATTTTAATTAAAAAGGAAAACACAGGCTTGAAATACAAAATGTTACTTTCTTTTTACCTGTGATTTTTTTAAATGCTCTTGAATCTTTTTTTGAACAAAGTTCCCCATCTTTCTCCCCTCCCCTCAAATTCATGCCCTGATCTATTGCTTGGTGGAAAGATCAGCATGGCCCTAATACTGCAGAGACCTACACCCAGGCTTAATTTTATGCCCTGAGTAGTCCCTGAGGGCTGGTCTACACTGGGGGGGGCGGGGATCGATCCAAGATACGCAACTTCAGCTATGCGAATAGCGTAGCTGAAGTCGAAGTATCTTGGATCGAATTACCTGGGGTCCAGACGGCGCAGGATCGACGGCCGCGGCTCCCCCGTCGACTGCGCTACTGCCGCTCGCTCTGGTGGAGTTCTGGAGTCGACGGGGAGCGCGTTCGGGGATCGATATGTCGCGTCTTAACTAGACGCAATATATCGATCCCGGATAAATCGATTGCTTCCCGCCGATATGGCGGATAGTGAAGACGTACCCTTAGTGAGATTACTGGCTGTGTGTAAAGTTAAGCACATGTAGAAGTCTTTGCTGGATCGGGCCTATACCTGTCATTACTCTTGTTTTCTGTGTCTCTTTGCCAGATCTGTACAGATTTGTAGCAACATTTTCAGATGTGAGTGCCTGAAGATAAGTCTGATCTTGCAAACACTTCAGCAATGTTTAAGTGACCTGATTTTTCAGAGACTGAGGCGCACGAGCTCCCAATGACTGAAATTTTGTCCTTGGGTTCTTTTTTATTTGGAATATGGCTCTATTTATCTAATCAACACTGGGAGTTTGATTGCGTGCTGTTAATGAAATTGTGGTGGGGGTTGTTTTTGGTTTTTTTGGTCATCTGGCTAAATAAATGTCTGTTGCTTTAACATTTGTAGGGCAAAACCTTCTTACCTAGATAACGAAGCAGTAATTTGAAATGTGTATTAAAACCTGCTATTAGAAAAAATAAAAACAATTGTCTTTAAAGTCCGAAATCAAATCTGACAAAGCTATATTGTTAGTTCTAACATCTTTTCATTGTGACCAGATTAATTAATGTAATTTGGTGGACAGTCACTCAATAGTTGATCAATTCGTGGTGTGGGTCCTTTAGTACAATTCAACATTGAGGGCCAAATTCTGATACTTCTGTTGCAGAAAGAGGGTATTGGTGTAACTGCTTCTAATGTATTGTGAGATGAGTCCCTTTTTATACTTTACTTTGCATGTGCCTGTTTCTGTTACAGTATTGACACTGTGTTCTAATCCTTGTCTTTGTGCCTTTGTCTGTGTATATACCTCCTTCCCTACCACTGTGAAGACAAATGGCCTTGTCTTAAAAACTGTCTTACTGGGAACTAGCTGACATTAGCCTCATTCTTTTAAGATACAGATTGTATGTCATACTTATTAATACTAAATAAGAATAACCGAAAGCAAGAACTGTACTTCATTAAAACTAGAATACAAGTGAAGTTTCTCAGCTTGTTTTTCTCTTTCCTGAGTAGCTGAATGCTGCGACTAGGTGGTAAACTCACAGACTTCTATGGCCAAGAAGGGACCATCCTGATAATCTAGTCTGACCTCAGGCACATTGCAGACCACAGAATCTCACCCACCCACTCCTATAATAGACCCATAACCTCTGGCTGAGTTCCTCCAAATGTCTCAAATCTCCGTTTTCATTTAACATTCCAGCCAGAGCCCTAATGTGCTTTCTTTGGGGGATGCCAGATGACATTTAATAGAACCTTTCCTTCTCCGTCATATTGGTGTCTGATTACTCAGTGCATGCCTGTGTTTTTGCTCTTTTCTAGGGGGAACTGGAAAAGTTAAATCAATCCACAGATGACATCAATCGAAGAGAAACCGAACTTGAGGTACAGAGCTGCTTCTCATACTGTCCTTTTGTGTAAACAGGCTTCTGTGAGAAACATCTTTATTTTAATGGGATTGTCCAATTCTCTGTGATAATTTGACACCAGGGACCTGATGAATGACTCTGAAACAGTAGATATCTGGGTTTGAGCTGAAGTGGGTCAATTGTAAAGGGATGCTGTGAGATTAAAAAACACATTTAAAAAGAGAATTTCTTAGTTTAGATGATTGAAATTATTTTTAAACCATGTTCAATTTCACTGTTTTCTAGAGTTTACTTTTTGTTTTTCATTAATCTTAGTCAGTGAAAATACACCCACTAGCTAGCCCTTCATAATGAAAGTCTCTCCATTTTTTTTTTTTCACTAGTCAATTTCACTTATGTCTTCACTTTCTGGCTGTCAAGTGGGAGAAAGTTTCTATGTTTGGGTGGCAAATATTGCAAAGAAAGGTGTTAAATCCAAATAAAATGTCTTCATGGATTTTTAAATTCCTGTACTAGGTTCTGTACAACTTTTAAAAACTAGAACTTAATTTTTGTACCTAAACTACCTGCCACTTTCCTTTATTAGCCACTGATGAAAATGAAAGTCTGCAATAGCATAAGATGGCTGTGCAGATGGAAGAAAATCAACATAAAATAAGTGATGCAAAAGGATCACTTAATTATATTTCACTATATTATGTAAATCTGTTTAATTCTGGATGTTACATTTCACTTTAATTTTGTAAATGATTATTACATTTTAAAAATACAACTATAAGTACCTATCCTGTAAATTTAAAAATTGTAACATTTAAAAAAAAGGGACTGCCCCAGAATTGTCTCTTTTAGCCCTTAAAAGGTGTGGGCTGAGACAAATATATTTTGGGGTATATCTTTTGCTTTCTGTTGTGACTTCTTAATTTATGGGATAGGTGTCCAGAGCACTGTATGGGTACCTCTAGTTGTATGTCATTATTATTTGAATTTTAAAATACAAGATTACAGTGAAATGTACATTCAGTGTTGAGTAGACTTGCAAAGTTCTATAGTAAATAAGTGGTCCTTTCACCTCAAACACTTATGCTTTTTTCCTCTGTCTGCACAACTGTCTTACACTTTTCAGGCTTTCATTTTCTGTCTCTGGCTAATAAGTCTGTAAATCATGAAGAATGTATTGGTGAATATAATTATCAGTGGTACAGAGAGCTACTGGTAGGACATGCAGAATTAATAATTCTGCAGTTGAAATATACTTTTAAGTAGCTCTGCAGCTTGATTTTAAATTTCCCAAGTAAGCTTTTAATCCAATATATAATAGTCAGTTCATCTCAACAGCCACCAATTAAATGGTCTTGAGTAGTACTGGCTGTTAGTGAATTTTTGCAATCTCCTTATTTCATGCTGAGGTACTGAAATTGAATGACATCACTATGAATGGTGGTTTGAATTTCATTAGACCTGTGGTACCCTGTGTCGACAGCATATTATACCAGAGGTGGAATAGTAGTATTGAACCACAATCTGTAAACGGTTATACGTGTGATAGTCCCACTGACTTCAGTGGGACTACTCACCTGGATAAGTTATTCATGTGCTTAAGTGTTTTCACAACCTAGAAACTTGTTGCTACTGTACTTAGTCTGGTTGAACTATGCTTGTAGCAAACTTGCTGAACTCTAAAGCTTAAATTCATCCCTGGTCTACTGGCACCATTGGAATTAAATAAGAGATACATTTTGTCAAAATGTATCTCTTAATTTCTGCCCCTTCCCCTTATTTATTATAAGAAATATTCAATTTTAAACATCAAAGGAAACAATTGTCATAGGCTTCCTTCCTCTGCCTTGAGTAGACACTCACTAGGGTATGTTTGTAATGCTTACTGCAAGCAGCGTTTGACGGAATTCTTATTGACATTGTGTCTCTGTGAAAGTTTCTCCTTATTACATAAACTGGCCTCAATGTAAGATTAGGCAATCAAATAATCTTTGATCCCAGAATTTTCATTTTTCTTGATCTGTTTAAACTTGTGACAGTTGACTGTCACAAGCAAGTAATTGCTAACATTTTATGTGCACGATGACAAAATTAGTCAATTTAAGATATATTATTTAGAACTCCTAAAAAATTATACTTGGAAAACCCTAATATTCACACTAAATAACAGGAGAAAAAAAATCTACAGAGCTGCCTCGTAGGCATAAATTTGTTAGTCTCTAAGGTGCCACAAGTACTCCTGTTCTCTCTGGGGAAGAGATGATCTCAGTCCTAAATTTGAGAGTGTCCTTCTACTTCAAGGATCCTTCAAAAGAGGGTGAAAAGCTGAGAACATTATGTTCAACTGAACAGCATTTGGAGCTTTTGTTTGTTACCTGAGTGAGAGAAGACACCCATTCAAAACGTATCTGTTGCTGCCTCTTCCTAGTCTGGGACAGCAGTTTCTGCTGCTGTTGTAGAAATGACCTGGTTAAATATTTAGATGACAAGAGAAAGATGACAGAATGTTTCAGCTTAAACAGACAGTGGAATTATATTTATCCTAGTCCTCCTTTCACTTTTCAAATTTGCCAGCTACTACCCTAACAACTTCAGTGGACGTGAACATAGATCCTTATCTCCATTGAAAACAATGGGTCTCGGCACAAATGCAGGGGTCTGTGCCAGCAGATCTCACTGCAGGTTTGGAGCCTTAGTTTGTTCTCCTTACTAGCTGGAGTCTTGCATGTTTCCTCCAGGATTCAACCCTTGCAGCTGTGACCTTTCCCAGACTATCAGCCAAAAGAAGGGGCATACTTAAATATACTTGCAGTTTCCGAAGGGGCAACAGGTTTATCCACAGCTACTGCTGTACTTGGGAATGCTTGCCCTTTCCTGAGCTGTTTTTGGGGGATGGGGGGGTGGAGACCCAAAGAAACTCACTCTTGTCACTAACCTGCCATTATTACATTGAGTGTTGATTTATGAATATTGCTCCCAGGTCACTGAAACAGCCGCATGGTCCTGATGCTCTGACTGATAAGATCTGCACCGTTCTGTATCTTGTAAAATCAGCTCTTGTGGAAATAGAATGGTTTTGACCTAAAATGTGCCACAGTGTACAACTTCATATACGCAGAAAAGATTGAGCCCTAATCATCTAAAGCAAACCTCAGGAAGAAGGGAATTTCACACTGAAATATTAACTGACTGGATGCCCACTTGACATTCTTTATGACCATTTTATTTTATGTATTTACTTTCATATCAGTTTCCTTTGGGTATATTTAAATCCTGATCCTGTAAGTGGGCCTATGTAGGTGGGCCCATATGCCCATGCAGAGCTGCACTGACGTTGGTGGGACTCCACAAGTTTAAGGGATCGGCTTCAGAGAACAGGCTGCAAGATGAATACCCAAGTGAATGTGTGGGGAGACTGAATCTTTATTTGAGGCACATAATTTTGGACTGTAGATTAGTTCTTGTTAGTCCAGTCATTGCTGGTGGGCTACTTAACTTACATCAAGGAAGTGAGTCTTGTAAGTCGCATAATTCTCAGCGTTAAGTATTCCAAAAATAATCAGGAAAAAGCAATTTGCTAGAACATACCTTCTTTAAAGGACTACAGAAAAATGTGGTGGCATGTGTTGTGTGGCTTGATTCACTATTGATATGCAGGAAGGATGGCTTTCTGGGTGACTCAGTGGTTGGAGTCTTATGAATTCTGGGTTCTATAACTGGCTCTGCCACAGACTTTCTGTGTGACCTTGAGCAAATCACTTAAGGCCTGATTATCTCCCCCTCCCCCCAAGTGTGGCAAACACATCCAGTTCTCATGGACCGTAAAGGAGGTTATGGATGCTGGCTACCTCTGAAAATCAGGCATTAATCTCTGTGCCTCTGGTCCTCATCTATAAAATGGCAATAATACTGCTCTTCTACCGCACAGGAGTGTTATGGGGGTAAATTCACTGATGTTTGTAAGGTGCTGAGAAACGATGCTGATGGGAGGGACAGACCCACAAGTACTCAGCTGCTTGATGTAGAGACAGCACTGTTAATTCTAGAGAGCCAGTAAGAGGAACAGCCTATTATTTTAGCAGCTGAGCCCCACTTCAGTTCTTATCCAATAAAGTAATTACATAACAAACAAAGCAAGCATGTGATAGGATTTAGAAGGGTGTGGGTGTAAATGCTATGAAGTCATTTTCAGTGGCGTTATCAGTTCTGTGAGGTGGTGAATAAGTATACCGTTTGCCCTCTCAACCACCCCCATTTAAACCCTGGGGAAATACCTTGACCAGATGATGCCTACTGATAAAGTGCATTCAGGATTTTTTTTTTTTTTTTTTTTTTTTTTAAAGGGACCAGGCTGCTGATAATTACATGCTGGATTAATTAATGTACCGCCTATTAATGAATCTGTGATTAGGCTTGTTTTAAAATCTATACCTCTGCTCTCACACAGTGGAATGCTGAACGTTACTGATGCAGCAAAGGATTATGGGGATCCTCAAAGCGATTTAACACTTGGCTTCTCTAATATTCTTGTTAATATCTGAAACATCCGTGAAGAGGTGAGGGAGCCTGCTGTAAATATCTAAGTGGCAATAGGAAAATAAATCAGACAAAGACAAGTTAGAGTGCTACCTTATTACTTTGGGGGCTTTCTTCCTGGGTCTTAGAAATGCTGTGTCCTCCTGTCCCCAAAATCAGAATCCTAAACTATTTTAATGAATGTGTATAATCCATAGTATGAAACACATTCACTACATAAAAGGATGTCCTTGATAAACTCTGAAAAGTACGATGCAGGTATAAAAGACAGCTGACCCACAGGCGGCACTACATCAGCACTATGACATAAATATAACAAACCACCACTGGATCCCAACAATCCGAATCGTGTCTTGCATTTGTAGCACTCTCTCTTGCACTGCTGTAGTTAAAGCCTTGCCAGCTTTTCTTAAATTCTGTGGAGGGGATTAATGCTCCATGAAAATGTGGGATTAATAGTGCTGCATTCAGCCATGCACGCCA